GGCATAGCCAGTGGCAGAGCAAGGCTCTAATTTTTATGGATTTTTTCTTTGAGACCATGCGCTCTGTTGCTGGCGGCGGCCCGGCCCGACCCGGCCGCCCCTTTTCGTACACCCTTTGCTCACGCACTGCACGCACTACTGGACCCGCCCAGGCCTGCTCTCGCCTCTATGCTATGCGCGCTGCACAGAAACGAGTGCATACTCTGATGGCTACTGCATACATTTAAAGGGCGCATAGTTTGGGTAGAATAGCAAAGTGGCACCAATAAGTCGCCGGATCGCAACCGGTACTGTCAGGCTGCCCAGCTCTAACCACACCAACATTGTGTATCGGTAGGATTACCGGAAAAAATGTCCAAAAGTTCGTGAAGTTTACAAAATAAATTTCAATATTTGACTTATAGAGTAACGTCTCAATTAGTTAGGTGAATTGGAATTGTGAAGTCGTGACATCAATTTGTAAATTTAACTCAAATTGTTAAGATAAGAATTCAAATGACGACACAATAAGCCGGTCATCAACTAGTACATGTTTGAGAGACTTAATTTTATGACTGAGTCCGTAAATTTACGACAACGATCGCCTCGGTAAAAAAAATATCTCCATACTAGGACTCTCACTTTTACCCGCGTACCCGCCCGCCCGGGTAGGAACCGGGTGAACGGGTCTACCCGGGTACCCGGATAGACCCGGCGGAACCACGCCAGTAGGTAGGTAATTTTACATACCGGGTCTGCTCGGGTAACCCGCCGCTACTCGGTAAGACCCGCTTGCCCGGTTCCCACCCGAGTTACCCGTGTACCCGCGGGCCCGGGTTTTGGTTAATTGTTTTTCAAAACCATATCATTCGAGCTTATTTGTAGTCTTGGCCGGTGGAAAACTTTCTGGCGGTTTATAGCTGTACGCCTGTGGAGCGCGGGATAGGCCAACCCGCTCCGCATGTCTGCTCGACGGGCGGCCTACCTGACGCTCTACCAGGCGCCCGGCCCTCGCGCCGACCCGGCCGTCACGTCAAGCAAATGGTGCATAAAATGGTGCTAGGATAAGGCTTGTTTTACACCCAAGCACAAGTGAAAAGACGCTAGGGAGGGGTGTTTATTTCATTGCGGACACTTCAAAGAAAACAATTAAAAATATACCATGAAAAGTAACCCCTATTTCTCGCCTTGCCACCTACAGTGAAGAATATTCGATGTACGTATAAACTATCGCCAGCCCAGACAAGGTCTCCGTATACATTCCCTGACCTCAACGACAGGCCGTAAAACTCTAACCCGGAGTTCGGGTCGGACCCGGCCGGGGCCGGGGGTGTCGGAGAGACAATGAGTCTTCTGCACCCGCCAAAGAGGCCATCCCTACAAATCAAGAGGCTTGCCACTAACCCAGGGGTCATAAGGTCATCGAATTGGTCGCAATCTCCTCCTCCTCTCCTCCCAGGGGGAGGGTCATGGGGCCAGAGCCGGCGTCATGAGCTACACCGCCCACTGAATGGACCACATCCAGGCGGCCAGGAGGAGCAGGGACGGGGCATAATTCTCTCGACGAAGGAAAACAGAGAGAAAGAAAAGTGAAACTAGAAAAGAGTTCCTCGTCACTCCGAAATAAAAATAAATTGCGCAGACTAAATAATTAATTCGTTTAGGCGAGCTAACAGGTGCGAGTGAGCGTGGGGAGAGGACGAGGCAGAGGATGGACTTGAGGGAGTGGAGGCCCAGGGAGTCGACCCCCTCCTCGTCCCGCCCCCGCTGCTTGCAGCGCAGGGGGAAGACAAAAGTCAAGGCACACTGTAAGTCGAACTGACCTTACAAAAGGCGAAAGAAGTGGGCCGAAACTTGAAAAAACTTTTCTACAACTTTTCTCCCTATTGATCGAGTGGTCAGAGCTCGGTCGTGGGGGGGAGGGGTGGGTACACCCGGAGGGGTGGTGGTGGCAGCGGAGGTGGTGGAGGAGGAGGAGGAGAAGGAAGGGGTGGGGCGGGTGGGAGGCGGCGCCCTCCCTGCTGTACAAACTGGGGCTGATTGCGCCGAAACTAGTGCGGGCCGGGAGGCTGCGTCCGGGAAAATAAAGTCTGCAGGGCTGGCTCCGGCGTGGTGCGCCCGGGCCCTGTGTAATGAGTAATGCGCTTCCAGACGCAGCCCCGGCGGCTCGCTCGCACGGCCGAACAGCTGCCCGGGCGGCACGGGGATTCGAACCGCAGACAGACCGGCCCCCGTGCGGACGCGCGTGCGAGGCTAGGCAAGGCGGCCCGAAGCTCCAGGGGGGATATCGGGGGCCGCCAAAAAGAACGCCCGAGTCGGGCGTTATTCGGCAAAGCCTTGAAACGTCGCCGCAGTTTGTTGCTTGGTTTTTATTATTTTTTCTTCCCTTTGTGGCAGAGGGAATTACAAAACCATTACTTCGCGCTCGTACCAACGGCCCAAGAACCGTACATCATCAGGACATTTTTCGACGCTTGCATCGGCAAGAAATAAACGCGAGCGGTCATCCCGTGCCTTCCGACCCGCCGGACTGTCGGAGACCGGCGGCGCCGTCCTTCTGCCCCCGCCGACCGGGCCGAGCTGATTCCACTGGTAGAAATTAACAGAGTACACATATATACCTGCCGTGCCGAGGCGCGTACCCCCCCC